GTGGGGCAGGCAGGGCAGTCTGTGAGGTAGGTCCTCTAGCACACAGAATAAAGAGAAGGAAGATGGCTGCAGAAAGGGCTTCTGAGTGGAGGGAAAAGTAGGGAGGTGCTGAAGATTACTGCGGCCCAAACACTCCTGGGGTGCAGTCTGCCACTCCTCAGGCACTGGTGTTTTCTCATACTAGTTTCACAAAGATTGCAGATGTTTGTAGACTGACTGCCTACCTTCTTCATCTGAAACAATCCTGCCAGCACCCACCGATTGCTTCTAATCCCTCTCTCCAATGAAGGATTTTTTCAGGAATTAGACTGAAGCCTGTATTTACTTACTCTCAACTTAAAACTGGGATCAAAGAAGTTGGATGTGTCAATGGAAAAAGCAGCAGTGCCATTCTTGTCAGTGGTATAGTTGGCCAGGTATTTTTCATTGAGCTCCAGCAGGACAGTCCTATCAGCAAGGGGCTTGCCATCCATATCCGTCACAGCGATCTGAACAAAAAGAATACCCAAGAGATTCAGAAAAAAAAGCCCAAAAGAATGGGAAATGCTCTGCTCACCAGAGGATGCTCACTTAAGCACTGAGGACAATTGCAGGGAGTAGAAATCAAGAGTGAAATGTATTTAAGAGGCAAATGCTTCTCAGTATTTTGAAGGAGCAGGAGTTCTGTGACAGACAAAGGCAGGCAATTCCCATCAGTACAAGGAAAAACTATATGTCACAGAGGGAGAAAGAATTGTTTATACACATGATCTTGTATAAAAGATTCTTTCAATGAAAAGTCCTCTGTTTCTCTTCAGTGACCATTAGGCCAGTGTGCCATCACATAAGTTAAAAACTAGTGAGTGAGAGGTGATGGTTTAAATTCTTACCTCATGCTCTCCCTTCCCAAGCAAATAGAAACAGAGGGACTCCAGAGCACATACTCTTTGGAGGGCACTGATTAACAAACCTAAAGCAACCAGATGACTTCATGGCCACAGGTAACCTGTGGAATCAGTGGCACCTCCCACCTCCCGGGCATCTGTGCGTACCTTCTGTCCCCATTGCATATGAGGATGATGCTGTACGGCTCATCCTCCTTCCTGTGCCTGGGTTTATCCTGCATATGCAGGTTGGTAAGAAATTAGAATATGCTCCAACACCTATACTGCTTTAAGTAAAAGTCCCTGGGACCATGTGTTGCAACGCAGGGTAAATTCTACCTTCAGTTTAAGCACAGCTGTTGCTGAAGTAGTTTCTTGCAGACTCTTCTTCCCCACTCATATGACCTTTCACTTACCGACCTTTTAGGCATTCTCTAATTATGGCAGAAGAGAGACCTTAACACTCCAGGTATAATATAATTTTCTTATTTTCTCTAGGAGCATCTAACGTAACGAGAGAACTATGCAGCAGTCACTGTTATGCAACATTATCACAGGAAGTTGTCAGCACAGAGTTAGGGGACATCCATAATCATGCTGGACCTCAGGGAGTTTTGATCTAAATGTATCCTCTCAGGTACCCACCTCACCATAGTAAGGAATTCCCCTTTTGTAATAGAGATCCATATTCTTGAACATCACTCTGTCATTTTCTTGGTTGACTGCAACATAGTCATAGGCTTTCATCTGGATACCTGTGAGACACAACCAGTAAAAAAGGGAGGAAACAGAAACCTGACATGGGCAGAAAACTGTTTCTTTTGAAAAGCTATATGGAGCAGTGATGCTCTGGAGGGACAGCTACGCAAAGAAAATGGTGATTGTTGGTTGTTTGCTGCACAGATCAGAATCCAGGAGATTCCTCTCAGAAAGTATCACCTATTAGCTTTAATCAGCTACTCCCAACCTCCACTTGGTGTTACCTGTCCCATTTTCAGTGACGATGCTTTCTACATTGAGGCTGGCATACATCCTGGCGTAGCTGCGGTAGAGCTGGAATGCTTTGATGGAGATGACAGTGTTGAGGCAGCCATCCTTCCCCAGCTGAAAAAGGAGCACAAAGGGGAAAGGCCATTTTTCCCAAGGTTTGGAAAATTGCTCCTGAATCTGTGTTAGTGGGTCTCTGAAGAGCTTCATGCCTCTACTCACATCTTCAGCTCCTACTTTCTACTTGCTCCCCTCTTACCTTACACTCTCACTCCCTTCCCAGCTCATTGTTTCAATATCGTTTACCCTTGCACCTGGAAACCTCTCTCCTCATTCCCCCTAGTCCTCTCTATGCTGCCGTCCCTTCTCAAACCCATCTTGCATGATGCCTGAGCTCTATGAGTCTGATCTAGTGGAGAAATTAATCATTAGTTTAACGTTAAGTGCCCTCAGAGACTTCCGGTATAGATCTGCTGATTACACTTGGAAAGAACACAGCTCCAGTGTTTTAGGAATGATCACAAATTTATAGTTTCATAAGCTTCCCTCCCTCCTACTGACTCTTTCTCAGGGAAAAACCAGTCTCCTAATAAGGTCATTGGTAAAAACTACCTTCATGGTCTTTCAGCATTGCCTGTGAGATAATGAGAAAACACATGCCTCTGTGATTGTCTCTCTGGTGTTCCCCAGGAAATGAATGAGGTCACCAAACACTGTGCTACATGTTGGGTAGTAAAGCTGATGGGGAAGAAAGGCCTTGCCATGTATCATACCAGTCCAGTGACAGCTTTGCAGGTTTCTTTCTGCTTTTGCTCACATCGTAGACTATAAAAGTGCTGCTGACACACATTGATTTGGACATTCCCTTGCACCGGTTGGCCATAAGTGTACCTAGGAGAGGAAGAGACACAAGAACCCAATCATGTGGACTTAGCATGAAACCCGCAAAGATTGAGGAGCAATGGAGACTTTGAACTCCTCAGGAGTGCCCAGAGCACAGACAGAAGAGCAGCTGGGAATTAGGACCAGTTAGCCCTAGCAGAATTCCCTTCAACTATTTTTAGGCTGTTTCTGGCATCTTGTTAAAGGAGCCTGCTTTACCATTGCCTTGGTGTAGTCATTCTTCAAGGTCTGAAGCTGGAAAGTGGTGCTGGGCTCAGGGTTGGGAAATAATTCCCTGCTGCTTGCTTTTTCTCCTTAGTGCCTTACACAAAGCAGGACGTATTGCAGAAAGATCCCTATCCACCCCTTTGGCTCATGCCACCCTGCCCTTTGGCAGTGTCACAGCCAGCAATCTTAATGATAGACTCTCCTTCTGTAGTATTTCTCTCCTTTTCTGTAATAATAAAAAGCAACAGCTAACGAGTAGTTCTAGACTCTCCCAGTTCTAATTCTGCTATGTAGCAGGAGAACAGTTATATTTCATGTCACGGAAGTCATAGCTAAAGAAATTGCTCTAACCCATACTCTGAATCAGCAGCAGGATCCCCGTTTCCCAGCACAGCCCACCATCCTCTATCCCATGTTTCTTGTGTACAAATGTGTTGTTCTCAGATCTGATACTTACGAAGCACAAACGTTCACCCTGACTTCTTCATCAAAGAAAGAGATCCTCTCTGGCACACTGGTTGTCACTTCAAATTTCGGCAGCACTGGGAATGCAATGTGAATATGACTGCTGAGCAGTTGCATGCCATAGGCAGGTGTGTGTGTGTAAAACAGTAAAAAAACAGTTGGCAAAGGCATTTTTACTGACAAGGGAGAGGAAATGGTTCAAAGAAAAGTCTGCTTAGGAGCTGGCTGTAGGATATTATTGGAGAAAATATAACCTTTAGTGGTAAGAATAATAACTTCTTTAAAACGCAATAATAATCATACTAGTAATTATAACAGCCACAGTAAGAACTGTGATAAATCACTTTAATTGGCTGTACATTTTCTTCAAGAGAAAGGTGGGAGTAATGCTGACATCTCAAACTAGTTAAGCCCTGGAGAACAGAAGTTATTATGCAATCCAGCCCCATTGAAGGAGAAAAGCAATAGATTAAGTGAAATAGTAAAATCAAACAGGTCACTGTCACTCCCTCTTTTCAGCTTACCTTTTGGCCCAGGTCACCAGCAATAATGACAACATAGCTGGAAAAGGCCTTTTTGTTATGCACCTGTACACAGGAGACTGGAAGGTATGAAAGACCTCTGGAGGGTAAGCAGGAAAGGTGCTTTATTGCCCTTACAAAAAACCCAGACAACGGGGAGTTGTCCAAGCCTTCTCTGGTGACTACTAAGGAAAACCTGCCTCTAAAAGATGAGAAAACTTGTAAAATCAAAACAAATTTAACAACTCCCTTGATATGGTCTATTCCAGAAAGTAAGCAGATCACTATGAGGGCTTTGGCATCTCCACTACCCATTGCTTTCCATCCTATGCTTCCACTGGCTGTCCAGCCTCCCCCAGCAACAGTCTGGTACCTGTTATTTAATCTGTCTGATAGATAATATCTTCAGAGTTCTACTGCATATTTTAGCCTAGTGCTTTCCATACAATGATGACCTCCACAAAACAGGATAGGCCTGACTCATTCATTTTGCCTTTGAACAGATGGGGAGTGTAAGGCCTGAGTGATAGGATCTGGATCCCAAAGTCACACAGTGACTTTGTTCCAAGCCCAGAAAAGAATTAGACTCCTAATTTAATTCCTGAAAAATGCTGCCTTTCTCAGCATTTGTTTTTTCTGTTCTTACCTTCACTTTCTCAGCCCATCTCTCTCTATGTCTGTCTTTCTCAGGCGTGAAGTGGAGAAGTCAAAGCACTTAAACTCCGCACTAGCAGCTCCTATCTGACTTAGGCAGAGCCAGCCTCATTGCTGGTGCAGGGCAGTTTACAGCCTTTGCTTACCATATTCCTCCACCGTGAAGAACTGGTACTCTTTTTCACCTGACGACTTCTCCACAATGATGTGGTAGGACCCCAGAATAGGCTCCGGGATTAGTGGGAAGGAGAGCTGGACAATTCCATGCTTAGATGCTACCTCCAACCACTGGAAGATCTTGTTTTGCTCTGGATCCTGGAGAGTGGGAGAAAGAGATGTACCAAAACCTCTATCACCCTGTTTCTTGTCTTCCTGCCTTCGTTTTTAAGTTTTTTTATCCTGGCATATTGGCTAAGTTCATCACAGTGTGAATGTGAGTTTGGGCTGATGACATGTACTCTGACTTCCCATTAATTTTCCAGATCTGTTTGTGCATTAAACAAGCCTAAGTTTATGTTTAACTGGAAATTAGCTACACTGTCAGATGATCTCAGATCATCCAGGAATAGTACATGATTAGGACTCAGTTTGCTTATCTGCAGCTCTTCTAGCATAAGCCTTTCTGACTCAACTCCTTCTGTAAAATGAGAATATTATGCTGGCTTCCCTTAGAAAGTGCTTTGAGATCTAGTGATGTGAAATGCGGTAGAAGACTGATTCATTGTTAGCCTGTCCCCCAGCAGAACATGACATTTCAGAAAGTTACTATTCTTATGCCTGTATGAGAATGAGGTTATTTCACCAGCCCATTTACTGTAGTCCTACCAAAGTAAGACTACACTGAACACTTTTATTTGAATCCTAGCAAAAGACACAGCAACAACCTCATGCCATTTCTGACTAATATCTGCAGTTCTGCTGATTTCTTCTCCTCTAGTGTTTGATAATGCGTACTGCCACTCTTCAACCTCAAGTCTATTGGCTTTAGATGGTGTGCTTTGGATGAGTCTCCCTCAGCTATTGACACTAATGGGAATGATGAAGCATACGTAGCCTTTCCAAAGCAACCTGTCCTTTAATGATGCGTTGCATCTCTTACCTCAATGATGATTCGGGGATACTGGAAGAGGGAAAAAAAGAGAAAAAAAAAAAGAAAAAATTATCAAAACATCAAGAAATTAACTGTGGAGCTTGAAAAACACTAGAACATAAAGAAGGCTGTGAACAGCTTTCTCTGGATACAGAAGACCAGGTCAAGGAAACAATTTGCAACTCATGTATGTAATTAAAAAGATAATTTTAAGGGGATAATCTGTTTGTGAATTTATCTTTTCTACAAAAAACATCCAGTCTCTTTCTACATATCTGGGTCAGGTGAAGTGAAGTGACTACAAAATCTGAGCACTTTGAGAGATTTCCAGGAGTGCTTTCAGACCCTTTGCCCTCTATAAAGGCAAGGGATGGAGTATGAAATTAAGGAGTTACAGCAATCCTTCAAAAACATCAGGAGGCCTATCCCAGGCCCTTTTTATTCAATTTCTAAGTGAGAGAGTCTCAGCGAACAGGTACCCCAAGAGGGTGCTTGAAGAATCTTGACTATCACTCATACTTACTGTCTCCTGAACTGGTCTGAACTGGCTGTCCAAAGTGACCACACGAAACATTACTGAAAAAGACATAGGACGAAAAAGGGATCATTCACTTTAGCATTGGTAAGTCACTTTCAACATACAACTGAAACAAAGTTTGCCCAGGCTTTTAGGGAGAACTAAAGAGTCCCTGGAGAACTAGAAAGGATTTTATTATCTTAGCCAGTAAAAAAGAAAACCAAAATAAACTTGTCAGCTGAAATATCTTCAATTCTGAACCACTGGGACTAAAGTAACCTCTAAAGTAACTACAAATACTCTGTACTGCCTTCATTTCGTCTTGAAAGACTCAGTTCTTTGGAATGTTTCCTAAAAAACTGTTTATAGAAATGAATTCAATGAAAAACTTGAAGAGAAGGAAGAATTTGTCTTTATTCTAAGTGTAAACCCTTTGCAGCACTGAAGTATAACGATACTAAAGAGATAACTGACTATACCACAGCTAGTACTGTCATTTAAATATTGTGATGGAATCAGTGTTGTGAAACAGATTAGTAGTTAAGTAGAAAGAACTTTGACAGGAAATTACTTGTTTACTTTGTTTTTATATGAATTTTATTAATCCCAATATTAACCTATTATTTTCTGTATTTTTAAGGACACTTTATGTGACTGACCTCAGTAAACGTGGCAGAACTCAAGATCCTGTAAATGCAATTAACTCAGTAAAAACACATGAACTCTACTCATTTGTTGCAATTTTGTGAATCGGTTCTATTTTTCACTGACTGTTGATGAGCCCAACCTCAGATGACATTTATACACTATCTGAAGGATTGCTCATGGCCATCGCAGTCCATGATCTTTTCCTCCACAAGAGGAAGTCCTTGTTATTCTAGACCCACCCTTGCACTCAGTTTGCCAGTTCACTAGCTGACTCAAACTCCTCAGCACCTTTTTGCCCTGGTTTGTAGATGGGTTTGTCCGTCTGGATGAAGACACTATTATCCACATTCTGAATCATCACTGATCTTCTCTCAGATAAGTCAACTGTGGTGCCTTTGGCAGAGAAGGAAATGAATGCCAGGGGGTCAGAAGTAGCAGGAGGAACCTGGAGAGAAACAAAACCCCAGAGGAAAAGTGGTAAATGACATATGTTGTGGTCCCCTGATGCGCAGGGTTCTTGGGTAAGATACTGACTGTCAAGCGAGTCATAAATAGCTTGTGCAAAATCATGAGAAGCCCCATCTTTGCCAGTGAGATAATCTCTGGGAATTTCTGCTGTGGAAGTCCCATAATTTGTCACCAGGTACTAAGGTTTTAAGCTATGCCCTGTCCTATGCATTTCCCCATCTCATGTAGCTACCTGCCTATATGCAGGTTGCCCCAGCCCTACAGCTGAATTCTGAGGCGTTTTTTCCTGCTGCATTCTGGAAGACCTAACCTTGGGATTTATTTGTCATATCTGTCCAGATCTTGTAGAGTCACAGGAAAGGGAATGAGTATGTCCCAGCTGAGTTGTCTAGTTTGAAAATTATGACAGTCCCATAGGATGCATGCACCCGTGATGGCAATCAAAAGCTTTTTGCTATTCACTCTGTGAATGGTGATGGAAAGTCTTTCTCCAGCTTCCCCCTACAACCCATATGTCTTTCTTTTTCCTGTCTATATTGTCAGCCTTTCCATCAATTTATCTTTTTTCATTCTATTCCTTGCCCACGCTCTTCACCTTCTTGCCCTCACTGACAAGGAGAGTTGCACTCAGAAGTATTTCCAGCTTCTACACCCTCTTCAGTAATCTCAAAAGAGAAAATACCTTGAACTCGCAGCACTTGAAGAAATCATTCTTCGTCACAGATTCCTCAAAGAGAGTCTTCCGGATACTGCCGTATTCCAGGACGATGCTCAGGGACAGAGGCTCACTGAGTCTGTGGAACTGCACACAAGCAGTCTGTGGAGAGTCGCTCCGCACTACCGTTGGGACCAGCAGCACATACTGACTGTAAGAAGGCAAGACCAGATTAGAGTTCAGTCATGACAGAAAGTCATGGCAAACAGGAGAGGAAAATACCACAGAAATGTCGTACATGTCAAGGAAGACACAGTCCAAAGCTTGCTCAAACCAGTGGAAGGATTTCCATTTCTTTCAATGAATTTTGAATAATAAGCTAAGAAAGTACAGATGACAATTTTTTGTCCCTCACAGTTCTTTCTGAGCGGAAAGACTCATCATTCTATGCAGTATCTTACCCAGCATGATACTGCATCTTTCCATTCCAGGTATTTACACAACTCCAATTACTAAAGTGTCTAAACACCTGACAAGCATAGCTGCATTTATCCTCCCATGATCTATACGTATACTTAAACCTCTGGAACGTCCCATAAGGAGAAGTGATATTTAGCTTCTTTTTAAGATCAATGACAAAAATATTAGTTAATGGTTGCAACAAATTTTTAATTTCTTTTTCTCTGGATATCTCTCCCTCCAGATGAGAACTGACATATCATAAGTCAATCGGCATAATGCACAAGAAATAATCCTGCTTCTCCATTTTGCAGAATATTCCAGGGAACACTCAATCTAACCTGCATGCTCTATTCTGTTTCCATGCCTCTCCCTGTATTGCTTCCTTTGCTTCTTTCTTCCATTGGGCTTTTTTAGTTATACTACTCTCTATAATTAGGGTAGCCTTCCTTCCCCAGATTCTTCCTCTGAAAAACGTTCCTTCAGATTTGCTATATTTGGCTAAGATTCTGTTGCTGGCCTCCTGTTCTCTGCTGCCCAAACTGGTCTTTTCAAATAATGTATGACAGAATTGATGAGTTGGTTCTGCAGCACAACATGAGTCACACAATCCTTTTTAGGTAATCTGATCCTTTCCCTTTTTTCCTCCCACAGCTTTGCTTGTTCATATTATCTTTATTGTTATTTTCACTTGCCCAGTTCAGACTGCATGATATTCAAAGACCAAAAGTAAAATGATTAAAACCAAGATTGTATTTGAGAAAGCTAGACCCTCTGACTTTCACAATATTTTCCTTTAGAACTTTTGAGAAGGGGATTTAAGCTCTAATGTTGGTGTATTTTTGAAAATTGTGGCTGAAATCTGTTTGAATAAAGCCATGGACATTGACAGTGCTGTATAAGTCATGACAGCACAGTAGGTATAATACTAATACTAATACTAATACTAATTAATACTAATACTAATACTAATACCAGGACTGCCATTCAGCATAGTCCCTAGTACCAGCCATTATCTGGCCTGTAGCACCTCCTCATACACCATGCTCTCTCTGTACTGCTGATGCATATCAGTCCTAATCATTAGTATTACTTGCTAGTCCAGTCTTGAATCTCCTCCCCACTTTACCCAGGCACTTCAGAATTCATCTACTCCACTTCTAGGTTTCTGTCATTCAAATCAGATTTCATAGCAGTTTTATGATGGAGAGCATCATTCCAAATCATCCTTCAACGTCATCTACTTCCATTTCAGACACATTTCAGAACCTAGGTCTCAAACATCCAGTTTATTATATAGCAATGTCCCAGAAGAAATTAACTGTTGGGAAATATAATAAAATATTTTATCATAAAAACACAGAATGTACTATCTCTTACGGTTCAGAAGACACTGTGGCAATCCAGTTCAAGGACAGAATACTCAGAAGAATCCTTGACCACATCTCTGTCCGTGAAGAAGAAAGAAGAGAGACTGATCTCAAGTGGACAGCCTGTCTTCTAGCTTTTAAACTGGCCTGAGATGATGCTCCTCCTCCACAGCTTCAATCATATTCGAACAAAAGATATCTACATAAAATTTGCATAGGTTCATCTTCCTCTGTCCTGTCTGTTCTCACACTCCTTGAACTCTCAAACAATAGCTTAGGAAAGCTCTCATATTTCACATAGCTTTGTGAGGTATTGCAAGCCAAACCGGTTCCTGCCCATCTGAATGTTTTATTAAAGCTTACCTCTCTGATTATCGAGTCATTGGCTGAAGGTTCCTTAATGTTTCAACCTGTTAGTATTTGCCACTGCTTAAGTATTTCCTTGTTCTGTAAAGATCTCCCATAGATACATGTCACAAAACAGAAGTAATCATAACACAATATGCTATTGTATGCCTGCACTGGGGCCTGGGCAGTAATAATACAGCATCAGACTCTATCTGCATTCAGTATGGCACAGAACGAAACTCCTAATTATAATCTGGATTTCTTACTGCACACAGTAACATTCTGCAAGGAACGGTGTTGGCTAGTTGTCTACCATTTTTGCCAGTGGTCAGGACAAGCATATCTCTAGGGAAAGGAATCTTACAGCATTACTTCATTTGTTCACTCATCTGTCTGTCAGTCTGCTTTTCCCCCCATCCCTGCTCCCCCCATCAAATAACTTATAAGCCTGGTGGTGAATTTTAAGTAAATCTGACTGAGAAGAAGTTTCAGAATAATCAAGATATAGAATCATAAAATAATCTAGATAGAAGGGGACCTCCTGACATTAGGTGGTCCAATCTTTCCTTTTAAGCAGGGCTAGCTTCAAAGTTTGTCCAGTTATGTTTTGAATATCTCCAAGGATGGAGAGTCCACATAATCTCTGGACATCTGCTCCCATGCTTAACCAACCATGTTGTGAAAATTTTTTTCCTTAAATCAGAATTTCCCATACTATAACTTGTGTCCATTGCTTCTTGTCCTTTCACTGTGCACCCCTGAGAAGAATCTGTCTCTGTCTTCTCTATAATCCCACTTTACACAGCGGAAGACTGCAATTATGTCTCCTCTTAGCCTTTGTTTCTCCAGGCTGAATAAATGAGACTGTCTCAATTTCTTTCTGTAGGTTTGTTTCAGCCACTGACCATCCCAGTGACCTTCCACTGGACTCCGTCCAGTCTGTCAACACCTTTCTTGTACCAGGGAGCCAAATCTGGACACAGAACTTCATCTGTGGTCTCACAACTGCTGAATAGAGGGGAAGATTCAATTTCCTTGATGTGTTAGCTACACTCTTGGTAATATAGCCTGAACACAGGAAACTAAATAATCTATAGTGGTGGAGGACTGCATTCACACTCTTACATAGGAAAAGAAAAAAAAAAACAAAACCAAAACCAACCAAACAAATTAAGGTAGCCAATCAACATGTGTGTAACTGCAACCTAGGGGAAGTAACAGGCAATTTCCCTTCTTCCTCTTCCTCAGCCAAACAGGTGATGAATGGGAAGAAGAAGCTGAGTATACTGTAGGAGTAATTAGGGACATGAAAAAGACTAGGGGCACTGAAAAAGGTGTTGGGCAATGCAGAGTGGGCCTGAAGTTATTTCAGTGGTAAGGGGTAGGAGAAGGAATTGAGGACTATTATAGTCATGTGGTACAAATGGATGTAGGACTGTTGAAAGACAGATTCTATCAATTTCACTTCTCATGATATAATACATTCTTGCTAATGATTCAGCTGTACAGGAATTATTCTTTCCATCAGCATGGGTGATACCCTAAACTACCCATGTCTAACCAGCTTACCTAATCATCTTTTCCAGAAGCTTTCTGATGACCAGGCTAGGACACAAAGAAAACTGCCCCGGGTGCTGCTGGAGCTACTGTCTATTCCCACTGAGTTACTAGTGAGAAATATTGCACAAAGCTTCCCAGAATGACCTGACATTAAAGTGACAATGCTGCATGGCAGGTGGGTGGTGTGCAAACAGGGCGGTCACATCGTGAAGAAAGGTGTTGCATTAGTTGTAATGAGGGCAGAAGACAGCTAAGAATATGTCGCAGACATGTTTGTATTTGCAGCTTTGAAATGCCTCAGACCCTATGTCTTACTTCAAACAGGTACTCAGTAATAGGCAAAAAAGAGTTAAGGAGGGAGAAGGAAATACCAATCAATTCCAGGGCCCTGGTGCAAATTGCTCCAGAAGCTCATCCTTTATTTAAGTGCAGCATGCCTTTAGCTTGAATGAAAGAGGGCTTTCTTACATGGATACACAGACATGGAAAAGAAAAAGATAAAGCATTTGAAAAACTGAAATCTTAGAAGACATTATGTTCAGATCAATTAAAGAGCACACGTTTGTCTGGAAACAAGCTACTGAATTCATTACTTTAGTGAAATTACTGATCCCAGAGGACCTCTTTGTATTGTAGCAATGTTGTGATAAAAAAAGTACACTCAGATCTTTATGCACATCATTACTGTGTGCATAAGTAACGGGCTTCAGGGATAAGCCTCAAGAAGACCACAGTGCAATGGGGAAGTTATTCCACTTGTCTCTGGTAGGAGGGAAAAAGAAGAAGTTTTGGGTTGTATGATTAAGAAGCTAGGAGCAGGGGGAAATTAATCATCTGGAAGCATGAAGGTCAAGATTTAACATGGAGGAGATAATGAACCGCACACTAAGCAGTGGTTACAAGACAGACACGCAGAAGCTACCTTGATACTAGATGTCATATAAACCAATCTGCTGACCTTAGAGTGGCACTGCTTTTTATTGGCGTAAGGAAAGATGTAATTGGAGATAATAGTTGAGCTAGAAAATTGATGAAATGAGGAAGAGTGCCAAATGCACTTCAAGACCAAAACAATGTAAATACAGACTTAAGTATCACATATATACTTGGTTTTCAAAGTAGAGTCATGTTGCATGCTCTTTGGACAGCAGAGAATCGAGATGTCTTCAACTCATTCAGTCCCAACTTCAGAAAGTTACTGCATTTGCTCTCTCTTATGAAGACATTTTACATACACATACTTTTTTTTTCTCCATTCTTTCTCTAGATGAGTCAGAGTGATGATTGTTGCAGTTGCATTTGAAACATATTTTTCACAAGTTAGTTTTCTTTCAAATAAAGCTGAATTTGCCAATCCATTTTATCACATCAGATGCACCCATCCTCTTCTTCTTTTTTACACTAGGCACAGAATCACGGCAGGGCAATGTAAAGTTTTCCAACTAACTCTGATCCCACCCACTTTCTGGGAGCCGTTAAGTTCAGTGTTTTGCATGTACACTGCACTCACAACAGAGAATTCTATGAGGTTGTGACTAGCCCACCTCTGATACCCCAGCTAGCTTGCGTAGAGCATCCCAGATGTCTCTACGCTGTCCCAAAATGACCAGTATAGCTGTATGTGCAGAATCTAGACACTAGATGTAGTCACAAATTAGAAAATCAAAACACCAAAGAATGTCCATTTGCTGTGCAGAACACTGCATAGTCTGAAAGTGGAGTTGAGACATTCAAATTCTCGGTCAGTACAGATCTAAGTCATGCCTGTTTTCTTTTGTGTCAGAGAAATAGCAGGAATTTCAGTGGAAATATGAGCAGCTTTCAGCAGTGAGGCATTGGATTTTCCAGAAGAATGAGTAATACATAATTACTTGTTTCTCTTCTATGGCTCCACTTTACATTTGCATAACACTTAAGGACTGAGAGTACTTTCTAAGTCATTACTTCACCTAAGATGAAGTACAAACAATCCACCCCACACTACAATACCTGTTTCATTGTCTGGTTTCTTTCTCTAAAACAGGTAGATGTGGAGTCAGAGCCTCAGCTTCCATTTCACTGATGCAAATACCCTCATCAACAGTCCCAGGCTATTTGCTAGCCTGTGATCTTCTCAGGAAATTCTATTGTAATCTGAGGAATGCTTCCCCACAACACATTTATCAAACCCCCTCTGACAAAACATTTTGTTTTAAAAAGCCAACATATCTCTGAATAGTATTGTATATGTCTCAGAGTTTGGATACTTTGGATGAATTTGCCTACACAGCCTTCCACTCTTCCAAGGCATATCCCCATCTGCAAGCTTTTAGGTTTGCAAGTGATGGTATTTCTCAGAATGTTTGCTGGCAACAGGCAGCTCGTAGTGCGGTTGGTAGAGTATGCTGTATCATTTCATGTTGAATGGATGGAACATTTTTCTGATATTGCTCACTTTCTGTAATAATAAAGATCAGGTAATATTAAGCTTTGTAACACTGTTATATTGAGAACAGTAAACAGCACACTGTTCAGTCTCTGCAAGATCTTTGTTACAGATAGACTGATAGTAAACTAACTAGTATGCTGTCATCATCTTTCTGGAACATATTTTAGCCCTACCTATGAAAAATGGAGGATTAAAACATCATATGGCATGAAACACTTGAAATAGGATCCATTTTTCTTGGTCTAGAAAGTGTAATGTATATAGACATCCTTGAAAAACCCCTGCTGTGTCTAAATGATGAAAATAGAGGGACATAAACATAGCAAGGCAGGCCAAAAAAAATTCTAAAAAGACTAGCAAAGGCAATCAAAAATAATAATCAATCTTTCTTC